ATCTGTATGTATTTATGATATCTGATTATCCTTTTAAGGCAGGAGAAATCTTCCGTTTGACTGATGTTAATAAATCCCCTGTCACTGGAAAAGAGAGGCAATATGGAGAGTGATTAATGAAAAGCATTTGAAAGAATGAGTACAAGGTAGCTAAGACTGGTGTGTCAATAGTGGTTTAACCATTGGCTGTGCTGGTGTTCAACAGGAATGTCTGGAAAATGTTTGGGGCAAGTCCTGACTATCTCCTGGAAGAAGAAGAAAAAAAAAAAACCGTGAGAGTTGCCTAAACTGACAGAATTGCTGACAACTGTACTGCTTTCTGTTGGTGTTTGGAGATTTACCTGAACGTTTTCTGGCAGCGTCACTTCTGATGAATGTTCTGAGTGGTGAGCTCTGATCATGGGGCATGAAGGCAAGGGCATACTCTCTGATGCTGACAATTCCTAGTGGTGACAGTTGCAGGTCTATTTTGGGCATTTTATTCTCTCATTCTTTGAACTCATGTGTCTGCTTCCAGACGCTATTAACTCTGACACTGTTCAGCTGTCAGGAGGCTTGCCTTTATGTGAAGGAGATGTTTGCCCACTTAACATTCATATTGACAAACTAAAACTGCTGCTTTCCTGCATGAAACAGAATTAAACGTTGGTCCCATTCTCACCACGCTGACAGTGGCTTGAAAACAACTTCCCTGTGGCATAATCCTGTTCTACTAATGTTATGTGTGTGATTATTGAAAGCACATGTGTGGATCCAGGCATGTCAGTCTTTCCACATAACTGATCATTGTTCTATATTTGGATTATTAGAAGAAGGCACCCATATCATCGACCCTGAGTATATATTTCAAATTACAGGGAAAGAGCTCTTGTAGGTCTCTTGGTATTCTTTCAGAAAGTTGGGTATAATTTTTTTAAATTTACTGCAGAAACTGGAATTTTATAAACACGGACCTCTTATACCATTCAGATAGCCAGTGTCATATGGTCAGAGCATTGGGCGTGGACCATGGGGTGTGAATCCATATCAAGGCTATGAAGTTCAGTGGATAAACTATCATTTGGAAGGGCTGAGAACAAAAATAGAAAGTTCCTGCTTCCTCATACAAACCTTCACATCTCTTTTGACTGCTCAGATTTGATTCAGGGTATAGATAAAGCTACATATTCTGTAGATATAGAAAATAATAACAGTAATAATAATAAGGATGTTTTGGTTGCTTTGCAAGCTTTCTGAAAGGTGGTAGAAACAAATCTTCACAATGATTGTGCTGTTTTAGGTTTCATTTGCTTATGGGTTTGAGTATCCTGCTAAATATATTCTTTCAGCAACCAGATATCAATGCCAGTGCAATAAATGAAAAACAATTAAGTTGATATCTCAGGGTTTTATGCTGAAATGTAAGGATTTTTCCTGTCTGTTTTTGCTAGCTCACAGTTCCATACTTCTGAAGTACCTTAACTTTCACACATTTCTCAAACTCACTTAAAGCTGAAGTAAACAAATGTAGATCAAATGAAACATTTAAAAAGAACACTTTTACTTCAGTGTCTTTTAAACTGTTGTGTGGAAACCATTTTGTGCTCTCTGAAATGTACTGAAAAAGAAAAAAAAGGCTAAAGAGGCAACCCATATTTAAATTTTTAGTGAAAAATAACCTTGTCTCCAACCATGTAAGCTTGGGGCTTCACAGAGCAGCCAGCTATTTGATCAGTTTTACTTTTATGCATAAACAGGTAACCTCTTTGGTAGCTTTTTGACAAAAAAGGGCAGTATAGTGGTGGTGGTGGTGGTAGTAGTAGTAGAAGAAGATTCATGAAGTTTACTAGGTCATAAACATTTTAAGGATCTACGCACTGATGAACACAAGGTGGTAAAATGTAGTAGTCCATTATATAGACAAACCAAACTAGCATTTAAAAATCACTGATTTGGGCCAAATGTTAATGTGTCTCTGATTAGTAGAGTGGGTATTGTTTTTATCTCTTCTAAATATGTTTTATGTCTCCTATAATCCCTTCTGTGGAAAATATTAGTCAGCATTGTCCAAAGCAACCTTTCTAAGTTCGTTGGTGATTGTTGGACATGACAGAGTACTGTATTTTCATGTCAAATGAAATTATTGACACTAATTCAGCAGGCACCAGCTCAGTGTTAATTGTACAGAACTTCTGATCTGATCAAGTTTTGCATTTTTAATAAGTTCTGTTTCAGGTCTAGCTTTGCTCCGTTTCCACTAAAATGGTCATGTAACATGAAGTTGTATAATGTCATCAATAACAGAACAGTAGTCTGTTATTGTATGGCACAGTAGTCAATGAGGTAGATTGGAGCTAGGCGTTTGTTCTGAATTAAGACCAGATGCTGGAATGCTCAGATAGCATCATTAAAGCATAAATACTTCCAAAGCAAAGAAAGATTCCAGTTCTATTTACCTCTTAAACCTGTTCTGTAAATCTTTCACTATCCTCACAAATGAAGTTACTGTATTATAGATCCATTGCAAGGAACAGATGGGGATTTAATATGTTTGTCTTCCTTCCAGTTTTCATTCCTTAAGAATCAAATGGGATATTGGTTGGTAATGACCAAAGTGGCAAGAGCTACATAGGAATCTAACCTTTTTATTTTCTGGGATCTGGTAAGCTTTCTTAGATCCCAGTTAATCCAATAATGTGTATGTGTGTGCGCGCGCGTGTGTGAGAATCTATCAGTTCCTTTGGATGATGACCAACCTGAGCAATTTAGTTGTTGCGGTTGTTTTGTGTTGAGCAGCACTTTCATTATATCCACCATGTTCTCAGCATATCACTGCATAATACATTGATAAACAGCAAACATCCTCAGTATTACAAGAAGAAGAGTTCTGCATGGACCCATCCAGGATGTTGTAACACTAGGTTAGATTTGCATAGAGATTACAACCCCTGCTGTGCTCAGACTAGGCAACTTAGCATAGTTTACCACACAGCCATACAGAATGTGATGCCCTTGACATCTCCGTAAACAATGCTGACATAATTTCCAACAGCAATTAGACAACAGTCTCCTGGTGCTCTATGTTGTCCTGATGTTCACCCCAGTTTCAGGCACTAATACATGCTAAAGAACATTTTTATCATCCTTACTGAACACAGATTGTCATGTTCCAAAGATGAACACTCTCCTGAAAACCAAATATGAGAATTTATAACTTAATTTGTTATTTTCCATACTACCTTGGTTCTCTCAGGCATTCTTCAAAGATGTTACACCCTTCTGCAATTGTCACTAGTACAGATCTCAAGAAAATGAAAATCAATGAACTTGGGAATTCTTGGAACTTCCACAGCTCTCAGAAACTCATTCTAGCACAGGTGATTAAAAAATCACATGGACTGTTCACATTTTGAAGATCTTAATTCCAAATGCCAGTGAATATTGGCACTTAGACTTTGTTTATCACTAATGAGAGAGTGATGTGTCCCCCTCCAGCTCTCAACCTTACCTTAAAATTTAAAAATTCAGATTCTCAAATAGGAAGCCTAAGCCTGAAGCAGGAGCACTATTTCAACTTCATGGTCACTGTGAGCCACACATATGGACTCTGCATGATTGTGTGGAACTGATTTGGGTAGCAAACACATTCCTTTGCCCATAAGGGCCCAGCAAATTATATATTTGTGATTGATGTCAGGGAAAGGAGTTGCATGCAGTTGACAACTGCAGGAGAAAAAGGACCTTTAGGGTCAGGAGTTCTTAATTCGCTGTAAGGTGAAAGAGCCTTTAAAGAAAGCATGTTTGTTGGCGAGGGAAACACTGAAGCAGAGGATGAAATAGAGAGGGACATTGACAAGAAAGGGATATGCTAGGCTAAATTCAAACACAGTCTTGCAAGAGTGCAAAATCACAAAAGACATTCTATAGAAAAGTTTGCAAATGTGTTACTGCATTCATAATGGTTCAGAAAATGCGTTTCATTTTGTGAATTGATGTGGGGAGGGAGGCGTTTCACCCAGTATGTGCTAACCTCACCAGAAAGGAACAGACTTAGGGACTGAGAAAGTCTGTCACAGAGGCTCCTGGCTGCACTGGAGGAGTGAGGGAAGAAGGAAACTATGGGAGCCACAGAGCATCTAATCATTTGCTGCTTTAGTGACTGACCAATCAAGGAATGGCAGCTTTTTCTCAGGATAGCTTATTGTGACAGGTAAGCTTGGTCACTGAGTGTACCAAGTAAACTTGGCTTATCAGGTGGCTAGCCCTCACTTTTATTTATGTATTAATTAGTCATAGACTGCTTTGATAGTCCTACCAGACTCTCACATCACTTATGCCCAGCTGGATTCAAGGGAGTATATATTGTTCTATTTTCTTGACAGAGTTGGTACAGACTCAAATTCAAAACAGTATGGATATGACCAAGACAAATATGTTTTTGTACTTTGTGCACTGCAAAGCTCAGAAAACTGATAAAAATAAGTTGAACTTACGCAGTTAAGTAATGGCATACTTTTTAGGAAGTAATAAATATGCATAAGTCTCATGATAGATTCCCAGTTTTTTTTCTGTGGCTTCCTATATGAAAATAAATCGCCTGTGTGCAGTACTTTTGAGTTATGTCTTACAATTTCTTTCCAATCATGCTTGTGATCCACTTTTTTAATTCTTACCATATATCATTCTGTTGAGTGTCCTGACACAATCTCATTTAAGCTTTCTTGGAACAGCATGTTCCAAACCTTGCCCTGCTCCATGGAATTTGATGCCATTCCTAACATGAATACTGAAAGATCACTTTACATTATATCCAGTCCTCCAGTTCTTGCGGGGAGGGGGAAATCAGGAAGGCAAGGTAAAATTTTATGGAGATGTCAGAGCAAGCTGTCTGAGGCAGGCTCAGTATGGGAATGATGCCCCTAGTATCATTTGCAGCTATTAAAATGGAAAATGGTAGTAGTTTGCTAATTTTAATACCCTGGTCTCTCTCTTCCTTCCCTACTTCCCCTCTTTCCCCTAAGGCCTGTATAGATGAGAACCTGGACATGGTAAAGTTTCTGGTAGAATATGGAGCCAATGTAAATCAGCAAGATAACGAGGGCTGGACCCCACTTCATGCGGTTGCATCTTGTGGCTATCTGAACATAGCAGAGTGAGTGAGTTTCAGTGTGACCTGGACGCTGGAAATAATACATGTGTTCTATCCTTTTGGAACAAGGGTGCCATTTGGTAAATTTTAATTTAAGATAATGTGCCACTTGATTGGTATAAAGTGCCTAAATGAATTATAGCCACAATAGCTGAAAAGTGTGCATTTTTGTGTGTTCAGGTAAACCTTATGAAACATTAGCAGCAATAAAACTAGTGGCTGAGCCCCTCTGAGTTTCTGTGGTGAAAGAAAAGGTGTATAAACTTGTTACAGTGAGAAGTATCCAGTTGTTCCCAGTACTAGCACTAATAAAGCATTAGTGTAAACCAAAGCTTGCACAAGTTAACTAGCACTTGCTAGTGCAATGGGAAAAAGCAATGATTTGCCTTTAGATTTCAGTAACATATAGCTGTTTTCCCAAAGTCCTACCAAGTGCTTGCTGTATTGTGCAAGCATAGGTTTAACACTAATGTTTAGTGCTATTAGTGCTAGCACTGTGGTACTTTTGGGTAGTACCCAGTATCTGTTATGGTAAAAAAAAAAAAAAACCCTTACTTCACTTTTCTGTGTTTGAATTTTGAGATATTTTTAGCCACCCAGCACAAACAAGAAGGGTTTCCTCTAGGGCAATCGTGGGAATCTAACATAAATCAATATTTTATTTAGGATCTGACATTATAAAAACACAGATACAAGTATCCAGTGGGACACGTCTGTCCCTCATGTTGCTGTTGTTTCTGCTGAATGCTAGATCTCTCCTCTACAGCTTGCAGAGGAAAGATCTAGCATTTCCAGGGAGAACTGAAAATGAATGAAAATGCTCTTCTGTCCTTAAGGATGTTCTCCTAATTTGTCCTAATCCAGAAATGGCTTTCCCTGCTAGGGAAATTGCTGTTATGCAAGCAGTGGGTCTGCTTGGTCAACTGAACTGATGGGATCCATCTCTTCTGCAACAGAATCAGTGGGGCACAATAGAATTTGTGGGGCTATAAGTGCTCCATTGGTTACTGCCTTCATTAGTACACAGGCAGGTCCTTGGAGCAAGCCTATGAAAAGTCAGTGGTATCTTTTGGTATGTTTATACCAGAAGCTAACATGCAGAGCTGACGGCTGTTATGGCATTAAATGGGCAGTTAAGAGGCTTTGTAGTACAAGACTGTTTCTATCCTTCCCTACAATTTTGAGCATTAGTAAGAGGAGCACATTTCTACTGAAATGTCCATTTGAAAGTGAGCTTTATGGAAAAATGTACTGCATGGAAATTATTTGGGAGGAAGTATCTTCTCCTGAATTCATGGTAATGAGCTCTGCAATTGACAGCCTTATGGAACATTCTCCAGTCATTTTCTCTGCATTGTGATGCAGTACAATAATACTTGTTGTGCAGATCTGCTCAGGTGTTCAGCACAAGAAAAAGTAGAATAGGTGGAATCAGAGAACTGTGAGCACTGTGGTGTTTTGGCTGAGCTATATTTTTGAAAATAGGGCTGTCTCAAGCCCACATTAATTAAAATGAATGAAGCCTTTGTGCACATTTTGACGTTACCCAAGGAAACATAGGATTTTGTTATTAGTTGCTTTCCTGTCTTCTCAGTGTTTTTAGGGCAACATTTGACCCTATAGTCTCTCTGTAGATACTGTGGAATTTGTTATTACTTTTGTATTCAAAGTGAAGAATGCAAATTCCAGAAATTGAGGGTAATTTTCTAGGACATTAACTTAGTCTGAAGTTCTGTACACGCTAATCTCAATGTAAGTCCTGTTGTATTCAGTGGGACTTGCTTTTGAACAGACATAGAGACAATTGCATTGCACTGCTAGATAATAATATGTCTTACACTGGGGCAGCATGAGGTGTTTTGGATGACAATGTATGAGGATTAGCCATACTATATGAATATTAGGTTAGCTGTTTGAATGGTGATCTATTTCTGCAAAGAAAGGCTAGATGAAATATACATATTGAGCAAGAAAATAAAGAAATGAATTAAAATTAATAAAAAGTTATTAAAATGAAAAATCTAAATCATGTGGTTATTTCTAAAAGATTGTTTCTATATTAAAGTTTATTAATGAATGATGACTTAATTGGCTAAGAAAATTAACTATTGCTATCATTTGCCTGAGCAAATTTTGTGATCTGAGAGATTGCTATCAGAAGCTGCACAAATTCTAAACTGAGTGATAGAAGTGTTATTATTTGATTGCATAAAACCAGGTATTGTATCCTTGGTCTAAAGCCCAGTCTCATTTGGCTCTCATTCATGTAGGTACTTGATAAGTCATGGGGCCAATGTAGCTGCTGTGAACAGTGAAGGTGAAGTCCCATCTGACCTTGCAGAGGAAGCAGCCATGAAGGATCTGCTCTTAGAACAAGTAAAGAAACAAGGTAGGACAAACATGTGCCTGTTTACCCTTTTGTCTTGTTTGGGTATTACAAGAAAAAATTCTACTTTATTTAGCAAAGGATACTGGAATTTCTGCAGTGAGATCGTAGGAATGGCAGTGCATGGCATGAAGTACAGTTAACTTATTTCTAAAAAGATTTTGATGTATATCTCTTTAGACCATAAATAAAGATAGCAATTCTAAAAATATTAAATTTATAATCTATTCCATTGGTTGGCTCTCCTGAGATTACTATAGCTTTGCTTTTGTCCTTTTCTTCGGTTTTGTGAGTGCTAAATATAAAATATGATTGCATTATTCATCCATCTCCGAGGTCACTTTCCAAACTCAGAGGGGAGCCAGCACAGTTTTTGCCATGCCAGCTCTGCGGGAAGGGGAGGGAGATCACAGTTCTAATTCCTTGCTCTGAGTCTCTAACCTTGGAGCATGGAATTGAAATTATCCTGACGCTCACCCATAGAATCATTCCTTAAGGGAGGTTTTGTGCTGACACAGCATTGCCTCCTCTTTGGTTTATTCACCATCCTTAAATTTATCCTATTATGATCACCCTGCCCTCTCTGTTCACACTGCTTATGTTGTTGCGACTTTTAACAGCTTGATCTTTATATACAGGCATGCTAATATCCTATGGAAAGGGGAAGAAATGCTTGTTGATTGACACAAGATACATTAATTACAGTTTTCTTTGGAACCACAAGGTTAATTTTATGAGAATGGCTGGTCCATGGACACTGTTTCTAGGGTGTTTTCTTTATTGGATTTTGACAGTCTAGTGATTGGCCACTTTTAACATGAGAAAAGTGGAAGGTTGCTGAAAAGCCACACAGGGAGCTGCTGTGGAAAGTGCAGTGCTTTCTGAATGTGTTAGTGTGTTCCCTTGGAAACGGAACCAATTTAACTTTAGTTACTTGTTGCAAAGCTTAATTAAGTGCTGATGTTGAAGGTGTCTGCATATGGAAGTTAATTCAGGGTTAACTTTAGAATGCTTATACCACTCAGCTGCAGGATGTGGATTTCTACAGTACACTTGTGTTCTTTGTAATGTTTTAGCAAACTTTGTTTGTAATTCCAATCAACTCAAGAAAACTTGGGTATGTAAAAATAAAAAGTTGAGATTTTGTCCAGCCTTTTTAAATAAACATGCATACCTTTTTGTGGAGCACTTGCTATCATTAGAGAGAACGGGCACATGTATAGTGTGACTGTGACCATTTTAACCAAAATACTAATTAGCTTTCCCCCTACCCTCAAAGAGCAGTCTTAGTCTTAAAGAAACAGTCCCATTTATCTATATTTCTTTAAATATAATTATGGAAAGTATAGATATAGATATGTCTAAATAAAAATGTTTAATATACCAGGCTTCAACACTTACTGATCTTTTTTTAGCAGCAAGTAAGCTTAACGAAAATTGGGCTTGGGCTGGGCTTCCTTGACTCTTCCAGCTGCTGCAAAAGAATCCATCCTTCAGTTAGGGTGGCTTTGCCTACCACATGCCTCCCCTGACTGGGGAAGATGTGAAGTGGGCAAAACTATTGGGGAGCTGGGACCAAAGAATGGGTGAGTCCTGTTGTTTTCATGCTCTTCTTTTGGGAAACATACAGCTTCCCACTGTGAAAACTGCTGAACTAGACAGACCTTTGGTTTGGCTAGCAAGGTTTTTACTTTCTTGTGTATGTTAAAAAAAATTCTAATTTCCTCATTAAGGAAACTTCATTCCATATTAGTGATGGAACTGCAGGCTTTAGCAAGGTTTACCTGGTTGCTTACATTCTGTGTTCAGTCACCCCCCACGCACACCATAACTCCCTCTCAGCATTGAAGAAGTTAATGCTCATCCTGCTTAGGTTATCTTCCATGGTACCCATGTGCACATTTACATTGGAATATGCCCCATGGGTCTCTCACTAGCCGTTAATAGGACCAGTCTGAATGAGTAGCTTCATCTAGCAAGAATATAAACAAAATATACAGATTATATTGGCAAAATATACAGAATAACTTCTGGGCATGAACAGCCCATCTGTCTATCAGCCCATCTGTCCTGATCTTTCTGTTCACCACCTGTTCTAGGGGAATTAATTGAAATTATAATACAGCAGTGTTTTGGGGAGGCTGAGGGAGAGACAGTTTTAAATCAGTGTTATAATATAATATAATATAATATAATATAATATAATATGTCTTAATGCTGTCATTTTCAGCACTTGGGTTACTTTGAAACTTGCATACACTTTTCTGTATTATTCGTGTTCTGCTTTGTGGGTTTTTACACTTGTAGTCTATTTCTCCAGGAATTGATATTGATCAGTCAAGGAAAGCAGAAGAGCAACAAATGCTGCAGGATGCACGTCAGTGGCTAAACAGGAGGAAAATAGAAGACAAAAAGCAGCCTCGAACTGGTGCTACTGCTCTCCATGTAGCTGCAGCTAAAGGCTATTCTGAGGTGATGAGGTACTAACCCAGTTTCATTATTTGCTATGCTAGACTAGGGCTTCTTGGCCCAGAAATTGTCTGTCTGTCTGTCTGTCTGTCTGTCTGTCTCTGTCTCTCTCTCTCTCTCTCTCTCTC